AATCCACTGCTCTGTTGTCTCCTCTGAGGCTGGGACTCTAAACAGTGCTCTGTGCTCATCTGTGCAGCCAAAGACAGAACAGTTAGCATGTTTTGCTCAAACTTTCGCAATGGCATTAGAACTAATACACCGTTGTCGCTTACGAAAACACAATAACGGCGCCGTGGGTGTAAATTTACAGATTAAGGGGTGGTAATATTATAATGAGATCCCTTTGCCACGTCACCAAGGGAGCGAAATCTGACGCGCTCATTTTCTCAGACACTTGCAGAAAAAGGCTTACCAAAACAAAGTTACTGGGTTAATCTTTTTCACATTTCCTTGGTTGGTAGATGCAACGGGGACCTGATTATAGCACTTAAAACCTGGAAAAGTCAGATTTTCATGATATGTCACCTTTAAGTGAAAAACTTTCTCTTCACCTCTTGTGTGTGAGTGTGTGTATGTGAGAGAGAGATTGTCTTACCTTAATACACTCCAGCACTGGTGCAGTATCTCGTAGTGTTTCTGAATGGATGGCCACATCTACACTGGAGAGAGCATGCTCTGCATCCTCCCGTCGTTCTGCTTCCAACTCCACCACCTCAGCCTCCTGGAAACACATATAAAACCTTCCATGAACATTTCAACTATACCACAGGTATGACGCAGGAATCACTGTCAGACTGAAAGTGACTAATGACCCGCGCGGCCTGTTCCTTTTCTTTCTCTGCAGCATCAGCCAGTCTCTCCAGGTCCCGCTCTCTGTTTTCCAGCCGGATAGCTGCCTCTTCCTGTAGTGTGGCCTCCAGCTTGGTTTTGTTATCCACTTTAGAGAAGTCCAGCTCTGCCACCTTCACCTGCGCCTCTTTAGTCTGTGAATGCACAAACAAACAACACACTGTCATTACACAAATCTGAAGCACTTGCTACATGTATACAACCATACATTACCCTACATATAATTGTAAATATTCTATATATTGTGCAGTACATACCATAATCTCTGGCAGGTTCTGTAGTGTGGTTTTAAGCTGGTCCGCAGGGGACAGTGTGTCTGGCAGGAACATAGCTCGGGACAGCAGCAGCAGAGATGTGGGGATGTGCAGATTGAGGTGAAGCTCCAACCACTGACATGATCAGAAGTGTGAAATACATGATGAGAAGACCTATTACTAGGAAGTAATCATTGTAGAGGAGAAAAGCATGTGTTACCTGTTTAAGCTGCTCTCTGAGTCTCTCCTCCGTCACACCCAGAGCTCTCATCCCTCTCACACGACATGCTGCCTGCAGCTCATTCACATTCAGACTGTCCACTCCTTCCTCTGCTATCAGCTGTCAATCACACACACACACACGCAAAGAAATCAGCTAGGAATCATCATTCTTAATAGGAATCATGAAATTTTAATTTAGAAAGTTGCTAATTGAAAAAGAAATTCATGAAACTCAGAAATTCAATTCATAGAAATTCATATAGAAATTAATGATAATTCTAATTTGCTCTGAATTCTTATACACTAAATATATAATGACATAAGACATTTTACATTTAACTACTTTTATGTTGTTGTTTTTTTTCTTTTCTTTTTTCTTTTTCTTTTTAAAGTTTAACAGCTGTGGTCACTATAAATTGATGTTGAATAAATAAAAGTATATACAATACCATTCGTCATTTTAATCAGCAAGGATGTATTAAATTGATCAAAAGTGACAGTAAAGACATTTATAATGCCACAAAAGGTTTCCATTTCAAATAAATGCTGTTCTTTAGAACTTTCTATTTTGAAAAAAATGTGGTCACAAAAATTAAGAAGCACAACTGTTTTCAATATCGATAATAAAAACTGTTTCTTGCGCCGCTAAACAGAATATTAGAGTGATTTCTGAAGGATCATGAGACACTGAAGACTGGAGTAATGACTGCTCAAAATTCAGCTTTGTCATCACAGTAATAAACAACATATATATTCATATATTAAATACATATAAAATATACACATTTTACTATATAACCTATACATATTTTACCATTTTAATATATAAGATTTTAAACAAAAATAAACACCGGTATTCGGTATGAACCGGTATACCGCCCAGCACAACATACTACTGTTATAAATAAGACAATGCAAAAAAAAATGTGACTCTTCTTAAAAACACAATCTCATTTGAGTAAAGACAGGTTCTAACCTTGTCGTCTGCACGGATGGCTCGGAGTTTCATGATGAGCTGAAAGCGCAAGAAATTGTTGGTGCCGATGGACTGCAGCTCCAGAAGCTTGCACAGAGCCACCAGCTGCGGCCGTGTCAGGTTATCTAAGGTCAGTTCATCTTCAAACAGCTTAGAGAAACGTATGATCTGCTCATTACTGGGTCTCTCTCCTGAGTCACGGATCTGAGAGAAGAGTAAGGGGAAGAGAGAGAAAGTTCTCATTCAAAAAAAGCTCTCATTCATGGTACTTATGAGATAGCATTCATAAGCATCACCACATGGGGGCAATACAGCGCTGTTTAGAATCACTTGGGAGAAGCAGTAGTGTTGTTTTTTCAGGACGAGTTCTGAGCAAGTGTGACTATGATCTACCTTCTGAAAGAAAGTGGAGAACTCCTCGGTCACGTTGCCTTTGGCTGCTTTGTTTCTTAGTGCAATCTCCTCGACTGTGTCCTGCAAGAACTTGGCCATCTCTAACTTCACTCTCAGCTCCTTCTTTAGTCTTTCCTCCTGCAGAGAGAGAGAGAGAGAGAGAGAGAGAGAGAGAGAGAGAGAGAGAGAGAGAGATGATACGAGGTCAAATAGGTTTGGTACAGGTATTGTATAAGTAGATGCATAAGAGGTGTACTAAGACAGAAATACAATTAAGGTCTTTACAGATTAAAACTCAAAAGGTCAGCGTACCTTTTTGGACTGTGTCTCAAAGGTGGAAGGCAACATGTTAGGGAAAAGTTTCAGTGCAACAGGAAGCAGAAACTCCATAAATGGAACGATGATAAAGACCAGAAAGGGCAGAAGCCGGAAGACATCTGCACACGTCCTCAGGAACTGCAATTAACATGACATAGGCAGTGATGTCAGCAGATTGCTGCTTTGGTGATGAAATGCAATTATTGATCAGTGGTGGAAATCTAATCTCTAGAACTAAAAATGAAGTACAACCCCTGAAATCCCTGTCGTGAAGTGCAAAGAACCGACTCTACAGAGTGATCTGCTCTGGCAGGACTACATAAGAGAATAAAATTAGAGCTCTAATCCAGCTGGGAGATGAAAAGAGTCAGAGTCAAGAGTTCTCTCTAAAACTTTTCCTATCTACTGTTTGGGTAAAGAACCTCATATCCTGTTCCTATTTCACCCCAAAATCAAAAGAAAGAAGCCTATTTTGCCTAAGAAGCTTTTGTTTAAAATTGATTTTCTACATTGCAACATTATTTTCATGAAAGTTAAGGACATTTAACATCATGTCCATCAATTTTAATTAGTGTAAAATTACTAGGATTTACAAAAAAAAATAGTTAAAAATATTAATGGTCCTAAAAATATTAATATTAATCCTAACTTCCAATTGTATTTATGTATTTATTTTTGTCAAACGTAACCTAGATGCTTTTATGTATGATTCACTCCTGTAAAGTAAAAAAAAAAAAATTTAAGTTAAAAAAGGACAGCTCTGAGACATCAGGTAAAATACAATAAAACAAATCAAAATAAAATAAATAAATACAACTTAAAAATGAAAAAACAGACATCTGTACAAAAAAGATAATTAAAATATAATAATAAATAAATAAAATTAAATAAAATAATTAGTTAAAATAAAAAAAAAAAACAAGAAAAAAAATAGATCTATAAATTGTGCAGACCTACAAACAAGTGATAGATAGATAGATAGATAGATAGATAGATAGATAGATAGTATAAGCAATAAAAAGTAAAAGCAATAATAGTGACACCATTAATGTTTACAATGATTGCTTGCAGCAAATGTTTGTAAAATGTTTGCCAGAAGACCAAAATTTAAGGGCGTGTTTCTATCTCTGTGGCTTCATATAACTGTCACCAGAGTAAAACCAAACATCACTCTTCTCAGTACTATTGCCATGATTGCGGAGAAATGATAGGAGTAATGTCGTGGATAATGTTGGGCATTAATATCCTAGCAACCCAAGGACGGACAGTTCATTCTGAGAGAGTGACAGAGTGAGCTGTGACACAAAGCCTGAGCAATTTCCAGTACGTACTGACTTAGAACGCAATGGAGACCTCCAACGGTTATAGATTATATGCGTCACTAAAGTGTCACTTTACAACAGGCTGAGTCATGCAACTGTCTGAGAATTTGAGGCTGGGAAGGTATTAGTACTGTGCTAACAGAGCCAATCATGTAATAAAACGTGTGATAGCTGCAATCTTCTGTGTGCTTGAAAACTCAAATGTAATACAGAAGAGCAGTAACCTTGTATTTACACTAACAAGTTTGGGGTCGGTATGATTTTGTAATGTTTTTAAAGTCTCTTATGCTCAGCAAGGCTGCATTTATTGGAAAAATACAATACATCTGTCATATAATGAAAAATTATTACGATTTAAGCTGAATTTTCAGCATCATTACCCCAGTCTTCAGTGTCACTTGATCTTTCAGAAATCATTCTAATATGCTGATTTGCTGCTCAATAAACATTTCTTACTATTAATGCTGAAAACATAGTTTATTTTTTTTAGGATTCTTTGATTAATAGAAAGCTAAAAAAAATCTGCATTTATTTGAAATAGAAATATTTTTTTAAATAGATTTTTAAAAATAAATAAATAATACAATTGTATAATATAAGTAAGCTTAAAACTTTTTAATGGTAGTTGATAACTTTGTGGATTTTGAAAGTACTTAAAAAAAGTGAGGTTTGTTGCTTTCTGTGGGGGGAAAAAACCATGGCCATGTTGCTGTGACTGATGGGTTGTTCTTCTGGGTGGTTTCTTACTGAACTAAGTCAAAATGCTTTGATGTAGGTCTGTTTTTTCACCATTTTATTGTCCGCCAGAAATTATAAGTTCAATCACTTAATAAAGGTAATATAAAGCTAATGCACTGGACCTCAATTAACCGCTCTCTTACTTCTGCCCTAAGGACAACATTTCTCAGCTGGACATCACTTTACAGGGTTCAGCCTGGGCTAGTGGCCAACTATGTGTCAATGTGAGCCATACTGATCTATCAATCATTAAACTACAAGAAGGAGATAGGAAAAGAAAAGAATAGGAAGACCATTGATTGAACATTGATTAAAGGAGTTAATGAGATAAAACTCCTTAACTTTTTGGCCATGTAATTTTCTTCTGATCTCAAAATTACAAAAGCAGAGCACTTCAAACTGTACTATCATAAGGATGTATTAGTGTATTAGTGTAGATGTCTGCAGACCTAGAAAATGATGCTTGTACTGAAATTTAAGTATTGAAATTTAAATTGCGATTATAGGATATGAATGAATGAGTGGGACTAAATGTATCCTAACTAAATGTAAATAGTATTTCATCTTAAATAAAAGAGTTGTTAAATTGGACTTAATGGACTTAAATTTTATCCTAAAGGCCTCAGGAATCCCATGTGAGCTAGTTAAAGTGTCTTGGGTCTCCCCTGGACTCCTGACTTACAGGGTAATCTCTAATGGCTGTTCCATGAAGACTCAGCATGGCACTCATTTAAATCATTACGCTACAGAAGAGATCCAGTCACACTTTACAGGACTAAGATTAAACTACGGAAGAATGCTAACCACCCACCCCAAATCCTACTATGCACGACTTAATTACATTACACTGGGTTAAATCCATAGGGCAATGACAGGCATAAGCAATGACAGGTCAACTGACAACCCCAGAGTGATACAATGACAATTTTCCTTGCATTTTCTATTAAACATTACTATACGTAAAGACCCAAGTTTCAACCCATTTATGTGTGTGTGGGGAAGTTTTATTGCAAATACTAACATTTCGTAAATCTACTTAGAGTATTGCAATAAAGGACAAAGGTGTCTGATGTCTACTTTATTATTACCAAATCTCAATGCAATCATGTTGTCATTGACTCTTTAAGGATAAGGTTATTAGGTGGTCTCAGCCTTGAGGGACGTTCACACTGACAACGATTTAACATATGACAAATTTGAGCAGAGTTCAACTTTTGTTTAAACGTTGGCAGTTCTAATCTGACTGGCAACTTTCAGGAGTCAGGGTACAGTTATTTATCATAAACTTATCAGAACAGAGGAATATTGATTGGGAAGGTTCAATCCTTTCAACTCAAGTCATCCAATGGCTATCCTTCAGACATTGCAGAACAGGGTTTTTCACAACTCCTGATGCCAAGTACCCCCATGAAACCAAAATAGTAAATAGTTAAAATTTTTAATGCAATTAATGCCATAACGTCTGTTTGTGCTCAATTTTGCCAAGGGAAATATTACCTATTAAAGCCCCAGCAGAACTGTTGTGCGTTTCCAAGAAACACAATTTCTGAATGAATCCGCATTTTGAATGAATCGGGTGAACCAATAATTCAATGGCCCATTCATAAAGAGAGCCATTTACTTCCCTTCTGAATGAATCAGCTGTTTGAACGAATCGAAATAATGAATGAACGATTCAATGACTTATTTATGAAGACATTTACTGCCATCTACTGGCAGTTTTAGTTTCTTATTTAGGGTATAATTTCATTAAAAATCATTTAATATTTTCATATTAATAAAAAAAATGAAAATAAAAAAAATTCCATATTACTAAAAAAACTAACTAAAGGGACGTTTCACACAAAAATGAAAAATGAAAAAAAAAAAAAAGATTTTTTTTTTCTAAAGCTACTTTTTGTAATGTCTATTTGATGCTTTTCTCATTTAACACAATAATGGCTGCACATTAGCTTTTGGGGGTGATTTTTCAGCCAAATTTGATGTGCGATTAATTTGCAATTAATTAGATTAATTAATCGCCACATTGACTACGTTTATATCGACATCAATAATCTGATTATTTACCTTATTCTAAATAAGACAATATTATTATTAAGGTGTTTACATGAGTTGCTTTTAGAATATTCCTTTCATGTTCCTGTTTTACATGTTATAGTACATAGTTCGATTAATGGTACACGTCATTACGTCCCCACGCGACACCATCCGATGTCCCATCTAGAATTTCACATATAAACATATAGTTCGTCTTCGTGATGATGCCATATACAGTTTTGGGTGTTTTATTTTTAATTTTATGAAAGCTTCAAGTGCAGTTAATTATTTGTATGTGCATACAGACGACGGCGGTGTTGAAGCTCTTTTATTTGCCATCAAACGGTTGACCACTGTCGTGTGTGTATCCTGTCGCAAAATGTGGCGAAAAGTCCTACACGATGCTAATAATGTGATTAAGGTGTGTACATGTCTATACTGCACTTCAATAATGCGACTAAAATAGGAATACTCCACATGTCTTAATTTGATTTGTGTTTACTTCGAGTATGACTTTAGCCGGATTAAGGTAATCAAAAATCTCAGTCTACATGGTAGATTCTTAATCGGAGTATAGTCTTAATCAAGTTAAAATCGGAATATTGTTGTCCATGTAAACGTACTGATTGTGTAAGATAAAAATTCACTTGACAGCCCTAGTGTTTACCTGTCTCCTCTCTCGGCGTGACAGAATGTGTCCATTCAGCACCCTCCAGAGCATCCGCACCGTAATAGTCGTATCCATCCATAGTAGGCGGAACCCGTGATAGTAATGCTTCACCTCATCAATCACACGTTGACGTATTGTCCGTCTCACAGGTTCGGCATCTACCGTCGGGCTGTACACCGGACCACCCTCCTCGAGCTTTTTATTCCGATCCTTCAGTGAACGTAAAGAACGCTCTACCTTCGAATCATCATGGAGACGGCCTGTAGTATGTACCCACCGGACTGGGGTGTTCTGTGGCCAGGCTAGCGTCCTGGGGTACGTGGAGTGGGTGTTGATAGGCAGGGCAGGGTCAGGTACTAAGATGGCACAGTACAGACGAGGTGACCTGGACAAGCGGCGCTGAAGTGCTGATGAATTGTCAAGGTACAGGACAGATGATGCATGAGGCCAGACACTGCCTCCAAGAACACCAGGACTGCAGAAAAACAGACGTCATGCATCAGCCTAAACAATCTTTAAATAAAGATCCAATTTGAAACAATAAAAAAAAAAATGACAGCGTTTTTGAAGCAAGTCTCTTATGCTCACCAAGGCTGCATCAATTTGATCAAAAATACAGTAAAACAGTAGTATTGTGAAATATTATTACAATTTAATATAATTGTTTTCTATTGTAATATATTATAAAATGTAATTTATTCTTTTATCATTTTCAGCAGCCATTAATACTCCAGTCAGAAATCATTCTAATATGCTGATTTGATGATCAGGTAACATTTCTTATTATTATCAATGTTGAAAACAGTTGTGATGATAGTAAAAAAACATTTTATATAGTTAATACTACAATTCAAAGTTAACTTTGGATGGTAGTATTAACTACCACAGTATGGATGAATTGCACTTTTCTCCAAATAGATTCGGATATAAATGAGAATCATGTCACTGACCCAGATACAATTTAATTTTCAATTCCATTTACCTGCTTGTGGCTAACCGCAGTGCAGTGCAGTTAAAGCATGTGCTTTCTGATAACTTTCCTGAAAGAGATTCAGAGTAAAGAAAATATAACATTAGATAACACACAGCACACTTATGAGACCACCATGAAGAAGGATGGACCAACAGAGTAATGCAATATAACTGTGCATCTTATCTGTGCATGATAAAAAAACCCAGATGATATGATATAACATAAAGGGTCATGGAGAGTGCTACAGGCTTGAGGCCAGCACGGGATCACGGAAAAGGACAGAGAAAATACTTGATCCCATGCATACACAGACAGGGAAAAATATCACCACTGCCAAGTGAAAGGACACACAAATGAAGGTGTGTAAGGTCCCATATATATTAGACTATATCAGAAACTAAGCAATGGAGGCACTTATGCATATGGAGGAGTCCAAAACACTTTCAACTTTTCACAAACAAACCTTAATTCTGGGCTTTTCTAGCCTTTTGATGCCAAGAAAGAATCCTTCAGTTCAATTTATTCCATAATTTTTTCATATTCAAGACAATTTTATAAAGAGAACAGAATTACATAATTGTTTCCCAAATTAAATAATTAGCTTTTCTGTTATTATTGGAATAAAGCAAATTTATTGTTTTCTGGAAAATATTTTTAAAAAAGTTCTATAAAGTTAATGGTGTATCTAATATCTATAAACACATTTTGTTCACAAAACTATGCTTTTTTTCTCACTGTCTCACAAAAACTAGAACTTTAGACAGACTTTAAAACAACTGCAACAAATCACAGGTTAATCAGTGTTTTGAAAGTAGAATTAAATAGTAATATAATATTAGCAAATTTGGTAAATGTGAAAGTTAAAAAAAAAATAAAATAAAAAAGTAATGAGTACATGATAACAGAAGTTTAATTTTGGGTGACCCTATCCCTTTAAGAGCACGTTAACTTTGACAGTCCTAAAAATACATTTTCTAAAAGCTTTTTCTCTCTCTCCAATTTTTGCAAACCCCCTAAAAATCCCTGACTTAATTAATACCTAAATAACACAATAACCTTTTTACATGGAGTGGTGTTAGGAAGCAATATGCTTACGCACTGTCATCTAATGCTGTTATGCCATGGAATGTGCAGCCACAAAATACATTAAATACAAATACAGTTGAAACTGTACCTGCCTACATGCTTAAACAAATGCTTGAATATGACTCATTCTTTTATCCACCTAGTCAAAGTATTTTGTCATGTCCATTGCACACTGGCACATAATGAACCTGACTGCGTGCTATTTACTTGTTTGTGTGTGTGTGTGTGTGTGTGTGTGTGTGTGTGTGCGTGTGGATCGGTTATGAAACAACCTCCATACAGGTTACATCAGGAAACAGACCTCACACAAAAACGCTGCAACTGATGCAGTGAAGAGTTTACATAGCTCACATTTTTTTACACGGATGGATGAAACACATTAGCATTCCTGGTGGATATTCCCCCTCTCAGGCATATGACTAATTACAAGTACTGCTTATGTTAAACTACAGTACAGTTAAATAAGACACCCATTGCAGCTGTCTGTCAGATGTTCAAGCATAGTATTTCCCTGGTAATGACCATCACAAGCACTCTGCATGTCTGAGGCGACAAACTCAGATACACAAGGATGGCCGAGTACATTTCAATAATGTCTAACTAGGGCTGCACGATAAATCGAAATGGAATCGAGATCGCGATTCGACAGAAGCTGCGATTGTCATGCGTACCTTTCAGTGAAGCACTGTTCTGTGATCAGCAGTAAATCTCCATCCAAAGGCCAGAGGGCGCTCTCGCGCTTAAACTCCAAATACGCCTCGCAGAAGAAACCCAGAAAATGCCTATTGCTGCAGCTGAATAAACAGAAGATTTAACTGCTTTTATTGATTCAACGTGACTAATAAACACACGACTACGGCAATATACGGTTTATCTGAGTTCTTCTTATAATTTTCATTAAAATAAAGTATATTTATAATGCAATGCCTTTATCACTGCTTAAATACTATGAAATATGTTGCGTGCCTTATTCTGTGTAAGAAGCCACATCATCTCACAGAAGGATTTATTTCAAACACTCGACTGACATTATGAAGAGAGTTTGGAGTAAAAATATGTTATTAAATGTGGTATTTTCACATGCTTTCAGATGGAGCAGCATTTACTTCACAGAGCCGTAGTTCACTGAGAAGCTATGCAAACAGCTGTCATTATCGCGAACGATTTCTTCGATTTCATAATCGCGCAATAAAATCGTCTGCGATTTTTTTGCGTAATTTGTCAGTGAACTACGGCTATGTGTAGTAAATTCTGCTCCATCTGAAAGCACGTGATGATGATTTACTGCTGATTACAGAACCGGCATTACTATCAAAATGTGCATGACAATCGCATTCGATTAATCGTGCAGCCCTATGTCTAACTCATGGTAACGTTAGCTACAGCTCTTCAGGAGCAAGAACAGGGTAAATATCCCAGTACCAGGAAACCACCAGACTTGAAGTGAATCGCCTGTTGAAATGGATCACTTGAAACCAATAACATATCTTCTGACTTTTGGTATTTATTTTCTGCACTGATCTTGGGTTAGTATCTACATAATTGTTTTTAAAACTTAAAAATTGTTTTGTAAAAATGTGCTAAACACAGGGTTGAACATGCTAAATTTTCTGTTAACAGATAATCAAATAGTGTAATCAAATTCATTTTTACACCAGTTCCTTTTCAACAAATAACCCACTGTAAACCAGATTTCTGCTTGTTCCAACAGGACAATCAAAAGGTGAATTATGTCATTTTTTTTAAATCATAAAACATTTTATCCTGTCCCAGTTTAAAAAGCAGAGACAACATTTTACAAAGCCCTTGATTTTTTGAGTTTCTGAATCAGGGCCTTTTCTAGGCATAGGCAAACTAGGCAGTTACTTAGGGCACCTCAAATTAAAGGGGGTGCCAATGAGCATCCCAATCCTATGTTAACGTAATGACACTGCATTTTAGCAACAAAAAGAAGGGGTTAAGTACATTTAAGCAGCTGAATATTAGCATTAGAATGTTTTTCAATTTGAACAGTTTAACCGTTATTTAGTGTATATTTAAATAATATATTTTTTAAAATGAATGATGGCATCATCAAAATAATAAAAGTGTTTGATAAGCTACCATAACCAAATTTTTAACCAATTTAAATAATCATGTCATTATCCTAAGCAAAATCATACAACACCAATAGGGATTTTGCCTATAGGGCGCCAAAATAGTCTGAAATGGCCCCATTCCGAACAGTTGTCCGACACGTGTCGCGCCAGGTTTGATTTCTAGGATGCAAAATAGCAGTACTTCTTGCGTGTCTCAAATTGTGATGTGTTAAGTTTAAAGCAGAAGTGAAAATTAGATTTGAAAGATCTCTTTAAGTAGGAAAAGTAAAGGAGTGGACTATAAATGCAGGATGTCCTTCTACTTACTGTAAATGTAACTTCAGGAAACTCCCTTATCTAGAGTAAGCCAGTAAAGCTATTCTCACCCATTCTGACTGTATCCCACACATGTACGTAAGCACACAGTTTCCTTTTCCCTGAAATACAGCAATCCATCAAAGCTGACTTTCTCCTGAACCATTTCCTTCTCCAGTACACCATGCAATCTCTGGATTACATATACTTACGGTCTCGTGATTCTCTGATTTATCCACTCAGAGACAATTGGACGAGGCCAGACTCCATAATTAATCCATTCTCATCCCACTTCCCTTCAGTACTATGGTTTAGGACCTTTGCTCCAATGCCCAGGTGAAGCCTAATCTGGGTAGTGCTTGCCATGTTTGCTTCACATGTAAGACCCTTGGCCCAGTGCAGTCTAATCCTATTGATGCCAGGATGTTCGTATGGAAGGATAAATGCTTTCTACTTTCGCTCTCTATATTTAGCTCTATAGGATGTCTGGCCTCGCATCTCGAGCTCAGTCTACAGCTGGCAGATGGCCCGAGATCTCTATCCTCTTGTACATCTCCTTGTGTTTGCATATAGAATACAAAGCTCTCTGAACAGAAGAGAACAGGATGCACTCTTCAAAATAAAGGTTCCAAAAGGGGGATTTTATGGCAAATGCCATAGAAGCATTTTGAGTTCCCTAAAAAAACTTTCAGGGAACATTTCTTAAAATAATATTTTTTTTTTCTTTAAGTGAAAATATTCTAATAATCTAAAGAAACTTTTTCCACTGTAAAGAACCGTCTGTGCAATGGAAAGGTTTTATGGATGTCAAAAGTTATTCATGGAACCATAGAGGCCAATAAAGAACCTTTATTTTTTAAGAATGTAGAATTTGTATATGTATAAATGTATAGATATAAATGTATAAAATGTATACATTTAAAATAAGCACAGCCTGCATATAATGATGACATGTTAAAAGAACCTGAACTTTCATGGGTGTTGTCTAAGTTCCTTGAAGGGGTGAGGAAAAAACTAACACAACTTTGTGGTCACAAATCTTTTCTGTTTTAGGATGCAATGTAAAGTACTCAACTGCACCAGATTCAGGGTGTGTCTAGGAGAGAAATGAACAAAGAGTGATCATATGAGGGTGGACCCATAAAATGCTCCACATGCTGCTTCAGATGTCTTCTATGTAACTAATTGTTTAATCTAATGCTTGGGAGTAGGTGGTTTTAAGGTACAGGATGTACTGTAGTTTTGACAAAGTTAAAATACTTTCTACTAATGTGCAGAGTCAACTACAAGCAAGCAATTCATAGACTGACTTTCCTAAACACTGCAATGCTTTCGCAACATCGCTCTGTTTGTTAAAGCAATTCAAACAAGACGTTCAATAATATAATCCATCATTACAATTCTCAATCATTGCTGTAAGTGCCATGTGACTTGGAGCCACAGGAAAATTACATTTTTACATGCTGACTGGCTGAAGAACACACTACAGGCCTAAACCCTTTACTAGAGATGCCAAAAGGCAGTAGACAGGGAAAAAAAACATACAACTTTAATACAATGATACTTAATTGTAACTACGCACTTTGACCCCTTTGGTCTGGCATGTCAACTTCTGGCAAAATATGTTACAGTGGGCAAAAAAAAAAAGTTAATGCAAGGCTCATGGGGCTGTCTATTCCTTATGAAACCTTCTCACCAATAGTGTCTGACTCTGTCAGCATTCAGGCAGCAGTTTTGTGTGACAGTCTTATCAGAGGTAGCAGTCCCTCTGAGAGTGAGATAACACAGCCGGAGTGAAACTAAGTCTACTAAGTCCCACAGATGTACCTCATTTATGCAAACAAGGTCAAGACTTAGCTTTGATCATCTGATTCCCTGATCTCCATATATAATATGACCGTCAACTCCAATCAAAATATACACAGAAAAACCTTTTGGCTTCATCACAAATGTTCAACAGGTGCCATTTGTCTTTAAAGAAAACAACAGAACCACACAAACTCTGACTGCTATTGGCAGGACACATCAGGTGTCCTTCTCTCTCATGTTGGTTGCCTGTGCCAAGTCACAGTCTGTACTGGTACATTTAACCAGCTTGGTAGAAGCCTGTGGATTGAGCTAGTGTCCTGATAAGAAAACCCCATCTCTGGCAAGTGACAATGTAGGTTAAGACTTTCTGTCTCATTAAACTCTTCTTTGAATATTTTGTGCATGTAGTGTCAATGTCAACAGCCCAACTATTCGGTCATCTGAATAATCATTTAGTTTGTTAATAGTCAGTGTTGTCATGCTTACTGGTAATCCAAAGACTGAATGTTATGAAAGCTATTCATGGTAGCATTTGTTTACCTAACAATGCATATTCTGATCGGACCTCTAATTTATAGTCTGTCAAGCAGAGCTGCGGTTAATCATTTGCCAGACCACACCGCTTCAGACTAGCTACAAGAAAGAAAGTCCACACATGGGAGTTACTGGGGTTTCTCAGGAAGCACTTCAAGTATATTTCGAAATTAATTAGAGATTGTGGCAGCAATGTTGTGGTTGAGAAAGTAGGCAAATGGTTTATTTTATTTAGACAAGTTATAAGGCCATAGCCGCTTGCTACGGCTGAAAGGTCCAGATATTTGTGGTTTTTATTACCATTTACTTGTGCTGTGTAATTTCCTTTATTTACTTAAAGAAAACTGTGAACAATTTATGACTGAACTGTTTTTCAATTAAGTATTACTTAAATGTATTAAGTTATCATGGTTTTGATAAGCTCTGAATTGTAATTTTCAATTAATGTAAATATTAATATTGGTTAGATTAATATATGGCATATGTCTAATTAGGGAAATTAAAACAAAAATGGCAGATAAAAATAATGGAAACTTTACAACTCAGTCCATATGAGTGATGGATCATGAATCCTGCTAAACCGCAAATGTTGCAGTTTGGTTCAATCGCATTAAAAAAATCAGATATTATCCTTAGTATTCACTTAGAGTGTTTCTGTCTCTGAAGAAAGAAAATTGCATGGTGTGCTCAAGGCAAAAGCACACAAGAAACTATGAGGTTTGTTCATTAATGAACGATAGGTTTTTAACCAAATTTATTTCTCAAGGACTGACTTATGTTTTTACAACAATGTGCTACATGTTTCTTTTCCCCTCATTTTTTCCAATTGACGGAAATCCGTCGTAGCAATGGAAACTCATCCCTGAGTAGTATTATGTAGGCTACATCACACTGCACCACAGTAATATATTTCTGATCATTTCATTAAGCTAACCCGAACTTATATTTTGATACACGTTATCGTGCTTTTCTAAGACAGGTCAATAATAAGGAACGACAGACGGCTGATGAGCCTGTCCTCAGATAACCTCCAGTACACACAAGTCTATGAGCTTCTGTTCTCCAGCAGCCTGAGCAAAACATGACGCACTAAAACGATACACAGACGCATTACTCATAGATTATGACTATATAAAACATAAAAATGACACGTGCGTCAATTTTCAAACATTAAAAGACATTTGTTTTCGATTTGAGTCGATCGCATTGACGTTCCAGACAGCAACGTCTGTCTGGCTACACCTGCTATTAACATAGCCTACTGCTGTTCGTTCCTGGAATTCAGCTTAAAAGAAGCGCTCCATAATTAAACGAAACGCAAACGTTTCTTCAAAAGTGTGGAAACGACTCGCGTGTTGACCATAACAATGAGCTGAGAGACCGACCAGCGGTCAACAACAGATACAGCACTATTATTTTCCAGAACGGACATAACTTACAGTAACAGAGCGTGATGACACAAAAGCACAAGCACGTGTGACACACTAACGCGCAGTTACAGTGAGCCTCCATTATCATCTGTACAGTGTACTGGACGCATCCCTCATTTAGCACATGAAAACGTTTAAGTCGGATGGTTCTCGGTTATTATGACTGATTCCGTCTGTGAGGCTGTACAGTTAGCTTGTTAGCTAATCATTTAAGCCTCTCATTTCACCAGTCGTTTAATAATCTTGCAGGCCAGGTTTGCGAGCTAAGTGGCTAGGTCGTGAACTCCACGATTTACACGACTGTAGTGTCTGGAGGGACTCTTTTCACAAGACATTTAAAGTATACATGACAGGTCTGAACATGTCCGGTTTGAATAACACCGTAAACGAATCAAGGGAATATTAAAGTCCCAAGGCCTAGTCGGTTTTGCTGTATAAATAAAACTTGTCACAGTATGTACGTTATATCAGTACAATGTGCCGCATTTTGACAGTTCATAAGGCTCGCTGTTCGTTTCAATAGCTACACAAAGGCAGAGGGAATTACGATATTAACCATTCAAATCGTATTACTAATCACATACTAATCTATCTCCTGTAATTAACAAAGAATAGTATTACCTTTTCTGAATTCGTTCTTTAATGACCTAGATGTTTTCAGTAAAGGAGTCCGAGATCTGGTGAGCAAAATCGATGCCATTCTGTTCCCGTCTGTGTGGATGAAAAGGCGTCAAGCGTTTATGTAAGATTTACAGTAAGGCTGAGTGGACGTAAAGAGGTAACACACTGACGGGTTTATGAGCTATCCACAGAAGTCATAGTCCCGAGCTCTTGGCTCATGCCCTTGTACCCTCCTCAGTGATTCAAGCGATGAGTTTGCAAGCGTTCGGCATTTGCTTCCGTCTTCCTGTGGGTTGAGCTCAGCCGCCAGGGGGCGTGGTGCAGTGGCTGCCTGTGAAGGTGTCAGGACTGACCGAGAAGAAACGATGAAGCGCAATCAAATGAAACTCTTGAAAATCTTGAAACTCTAAATGAGTTGACAAACAGTGCATGATTAGCGTTCTGATGTCCGAAAAAAGCTAGGCATGGTGTAATCCTAAATCCTAAATGTTACTGGCAATGATGATGTGTGCACAAGCAACTGACACTTGTTTTAAGTATGTAATAATACTAAAACAGATTTTTTTTTAACAAAATTGTCTGCTAAATATTCTTCTAGAAACGGAAATGAAATGGGTATAAACTGCTTTTGAAACATTTTAATGGTTTGTGAACCCTGGCCAATGAGGCGCCACTGTTGCCAGATCTCCATATAAAAGCAAATTGGTATGATATAATATGCTCAAAAATACGTGACTTGTCTCACTAAAATGTCTAAATAAGCGAACTTAGTTTAATTTTTTCCCCAGGGGGATAACTGCGTCATTCATTTGTCTATTTATTGTAGCATGATGTACATAAAACATGCCATTTGCTGCAATTGTATTGTGCTGTTTTAAAACAATGTAATGTTTCACATACAACTTACCATCTAAATAAATGAATACATCTTTGTTCATATACATCAATTGTACATTAATATTTTGGAAATAAGACCAAAAAACGCAACCAATGTCTGTAAGCGCCTTAATAAATCAACAAACCAAAAGACGTTTGTAACAAGCGGACATGGCAACACAGTCTGGCGCGCTTATTTTCTGGTTGCCAGACACTCTTGCTTGAGTGAAAATTGACTACACGCTAAAAGCATATTAACTGGAAAAATTAAAAATATATATTTAAAAAGAAAATTACACATTTCAGTATTGGTTTATGTTTAACCAAAAATTGCAACAAATTAATTCCAAAATGTTGTCGTTATTTTTATACAATAACGTAAAACTCAGCATTCGCCACATGTTCTGTGTGCAACTGGCAACAAGATAACCCCGCCCTCTTGCAGCTGACGTCACATGGTGAGAATTGCCCTCCTCTGCTCGATTCCTCGAGCAGTGATCTGTATCGCTTTGCCATTTTTCGAAATAAAAACAAAAACAGATGATCTCAGAATCTCATGGCTTCATCTTAAACAACGAACTTGCGATGAAGTTTGGAGTGCGCCACGGATAAGTGAAGATGTTCGACGGAGACTCAGCCGCGAAGACAGTGATATTTGAAAAGGCCGGTTGAATTGTGCCGTCGCGTGTCAGCCAATCGGATGTGAGTATTTTTGGCGCTGATTGGGATGAGAGAGTTTCCCGCAAGCTTCTCGATACACGTCGGGAGTAATGGAGATGCTGTAAACAGGTTTATTTTCCCACAGGAATAAATCGTGGCACGTCATAATTACGGGGATTGCTGTCTATTACACGCCGGGGTGGGATGTTAGAGGTTTTCTTTCACGGATAAACGAGTCGTTTTGTAATAACAATAGCTCGATAACTGCCTCTTGTTTAGGACCGAACGGACATTTACATTTGAGCAGTCACTGTTTTACATAAAGCTTTGCTTAGGTTATGTTTTTATTCACTTTTTAGATATGATTCATTTATTGCCCTTGTGCATGTTACAAATCAAAAGCGGTACGTTTTTTTTCTTTATTTCGTTGATAGAAAGCTCGCAGTGCTTATTTTGTATCGAATGGCTTGGTTTGCATCAGTGGGTTTCGTTTCAGGATTCATTTGAGGAGGTTTGTGCATTGAACTGAATCAAAGCGGCTGGCCACCCTCTCGCGCACTGCGAATCCTCCACGGAAGCCATTTTAATGTGGGACCAAACCATTCCAGTTCTCAAACTCTATCCTTGCCATAATCCACTCAGTTCTTTCACATAACCACAGTGTCCCACACGAACTGTAACTGCTGGTTATTTGTGGCTATTTAGGACCTGCAGCTTGCAGTAGTCGCCACAGGTGCAGTGGTTAGAACAATTAATTCGGATTTTCGATAAACGTCGGTTATGTTTGTTCTCGTAATCTTTTTACGTTTTGTATTTTTAAAATGTACCTGTTAAAAAAAAAATATATATATATATATATGCTGCATCATTATTATTTATTTATTTTTGAACATTTAGTGGGCCTAGGATTTTAAGGTGTGGTCCATAATGTAGTTGTGTTTGCATATTTTTATTTTAAAGCAAAGGTTGTCATCTTTTTCTAACCCAGAGGCCCCCTAATATAAACAATGTACTGTATGTTTTAATTCATAATAATCACACAGCTGTATGGACTGACCAGACCATATTTTGAGTATATGTGTGTGCATATAAATGTATGTGTGTGTGTGTGTGTATGTATCACACATTAGTCATCATTTGAAGTGGATTCAAAAAGTTTTTGTTTTAGGACAACTTTGAGGTTTTGATCCACTTCAAATGTTGACTATAACTGATTTATTTTAGTTTACATGTGCATACTTTTTTTAATTAATTTGTCCTTTTTTTATATATAGTTGAGGATTGATTGTAAATGTTTCATTTTGTAAACCTCTATTGTTTTTGTCTTTTTCAGGCCCCTGGTTAGTTATGACAGATAGTAAGGGGACATCACTGCCTGCAATGCCAGAACCCAGGAGTCCTACCACCATGAAACAGCCCTCTGATTCACCTGGTGGACGTAAGGGTCGGGGTGATGGGAGCACTGACCCTACTATGCTCATGGATAAAGCCGCTACCCAGATGGCAGCTACACCTCAAGAAAGTGTTTTGCAGATGATTGGCAGTCATGGTCATAACCACACCCATGAGCGGCTAAAGGACCTGACTTCCCGTTTGTTAAATGGCGATCAAGACAAAATTCCAAAGCTCTGTGCTGCCACAGCTGCACAGCCTCTTCTCAAAGGGGTGGAGCCTGTTCTTCAGCATGCCAGCCCTCCGAGGAAGTCCAGTGTTTCTCCTGAACTCACTTTTAAAATAACCAAATGTGTGGTAAATCTAGGTGGGAAGACAAACCGATTCGGGGCAGATTATGCAGAGGAGGGAACAGAGGAGACAAATGCACCTTTGAGACTTTCAGAAGGTTTTCTTGCCTCTCCAACTGCCATGAGAGAAAGACGAAAGAAGAAAGGGGGGCTTGTAAGGAAGAGAACTCCACCAAATCGCAGAGAGTCAATTTTAACCCCTATTGAGAGTTCTGATCAATCCCTTCTACTGCAACCCACCATAAATTCTAATGACCACACCACTGAACCATGTGTTCTCCCCACTGAGTCTGATGAGCAGACTGATGGCGAGATACCTGCTAGTGTAACTGCCATCCCAACCCAGGTATGGCTTATTGGCACTTAATGGCTCTTCGACTGTCTTTAATGCAAAATAAGTTGTTTATCATAAGGAAAATATGTTTACCACTTGTGGAGGGATTCTCTTTTTTTTTTATGGGTCTTACAGTTCTTCATTTCTGTCTTGTAGGGGCCTGTGTCTGACTGCGAAGTGAATGATGTCGCACAGGGTGTGGATGATGTGGAATTGAGTGGTACAGAGACACAACCCCGTGTGCAGTTCTCAGTGGGGGATGTTATCTGGGCCAAAGTGTCTGGATACCCTTGGTGGCCATGCATGATCACTACAGACCCGGAGATTAACATGCACTTTAAGTCAAAAGGTAAGGTGTGCTAGATCAGTTGACGTATTGTTCTTTAAGCACTTCCCATTACCATATTGTCAACCAACAGATTTTCATCATTACTGTCTTGCTCAATTTTTAACAGTTTGTGGCAGTGCATACTAGTATGAAGTAACATTAGCTGCACCTTTTTATAATGATCCATATTTATAGACATGGAAAAGCAAAGAATATCAGATAACTCGATCAGTAACATTAGGAAAATTCTAACTGCAAACTGATAGATATAAAAAAAACAATGAGTCTGATGTGGATAGTAATACTGCGAGAAAGCAGTATTAAAAAAGCTTTTAATTGAGTTTTAAAAGTTGCAAAGGCTACTTAAGAGTGAGATCAGGAGTTTAGATGCCATGGCACTGCATGTTTTGCCACCCATGGAGGAAAGTCAGAATCTAGGGGATATCAAGGAAACAGCTGAAGTAGCTCAGAGACTCAAGGAGCAAGGTCATTAAGGGATTTAATAATTAAAAGAAGTGCTTTGTAGTAAATAAGAGATGAAACGGATGGCCATTGCAATTTAAACAGGATTGGGGGGGTCGATTGCGATGGTTTTGGTGAGTAGGCCGTAACCAAGCTGTGAAGTTATGAAAGCATGTACCAGTGATTCAGTATCTTTTGGACTAAGAATTGAGCAAAGATGTGCAGTTTTCACAGAGTTAAAAGAATGCTGCCTTGACCAGGTAGTTGAAATGGACTGAAATTATGGGCTGACAGCATCAGTGTAGTAATGTGAACAGAATGCATTTAAATATTGAAAAGAAGAGCAGAAGAAGGGCCGAAAACAGATCCCTGACAGGGTTTCCACGGGTCTTAAAAAAAGTCTTAAATTGTACAAGAAAGTCTTGATTATGATTTCAAGAGGTCTTAAATTTGGGGACAGAAAGACCAGAATTGCGATATGGCTGAATGTGACGATTAAACTTCAAAAGTCCGGTGCTGCACTGCTTTGTGTACTGCAGCTACCGGGAAAATAGTTATATTTCTTTTTGTTTCTTCTGGACTCCTTTTTAATGGTTAAATTAAATTGTATTAATCAAAAAGCATGTCTAACTAATTAAAATCATGAAACTTAAACAATTTAACATCAATTTATTAAAAGTTTAACAAAAATTACATGTTTAGGGCCCTGTGAAATGTTTTATTTTTACCAACCTTATGATTTATTGTTACCAAATTCTGTTTTAGCATGTCTACTTATTTGAAAGCATAAAAACAAGTTTAATTTATTCTTACAATAGCCTTATGATTTTTTGCACAGAAATTCTTTGTGTATTTACATATTTTAGGGCATAAAACATAAATTTAATCTATCT